TCCTATATAATAAAAGAGAAACATGCAAATTAACTGTCCCTTTGCTATGCTCACCAGCCATGCCCACCAGCCAATGAGGAGTGAGTATGCAAATTAACCTGACAAATATGGTGGGTAATTTGCATACACAGAGCAGAGTGAGAGAGCTGGCAGCTTGGGGGTACGTGGCTCCCTCGGTTGGGAAAACCCAGAGCGTGGGGAGCACCAGGAATGCTGGGAATGTAGTTCTGATGGCAGCCCCAGAACCGGAAGCAGAAGCCCAGAGCACGGGGAGCACCAGGAATGCTGGAATTGTAGTTCTCCTAGATGCTAGATGCAGTGATGGCGAACCTATGACACACGTGTCAGAGGTGACACGTGAACTCATTTTTTTGGTTGATTTTTCTTTGTTAAATGGCATTTAAATATATAAAATAAATATCAAAAATATAAGTCTTTGTTTTACTATGGTTGCAAATATCAAAAAATTTCTATATGTGACACGGCACCAGAGTTAAGTTAGGGTTTTTCAAAATGCTGACACGCCGAGCTCAAAAGGTTCGCCATCACAGCACTAGAGAAAAGTAAGCCTGGAGCAAGTTACTGTTGCGGTGGGGGATGGAGGGAAAGGAAAGGTGAGAGACATAAGTAAAATCAGAGTGTCTAGGAAAAATTAAAGGGAAGATATCCTAAAACTTCCAGGAAATCTCCACCAATGGAGCAAAGAAAAAAAAATGCCTCTATTATTCTGTGAGCAACAAACCAAACTGGGTTGGGGGTCTCAGACAATTCTCTCATATGATTGCAAAGACAGACAGAAACTCCCAGATTGGAGAGGGTGCAGGTCGGGCTGAGGGACCGCCCCCCTTCCCCCCCGCCACTGCACGAATCTTCATGCACCAGGCCCCTAGTCCTTTATAAATGGAAATCAGATTATGTCATTTCCTTACTTAACTCCTAGAGTGCCGGGGAGGGCGATTCGCTTCCTCCTGTCTTTTGCCAAAAGTGCCGGGAGCGCTATGGCGCTCCTCCTGCAGTGTCACTATTAGATGCTAGTAGTTCACTCTTTATTGACAGATGGCACCTAAGGAAAATCAGCAAAAATGCCTTGGCAATTTTAGCATAGTTCCTAGGATATTGGTTGGCACTCAAAGGGTTAAAACCCTGGGATCAGAATGAAATCCCGACTGCTGACCTCTGTCCCTGACTGCCCCCAATCTTCCCTCTCCTCCTTGCCCACCCAACCTCAATCTGTTTCCCAAACACATCACACTGGGTCCTGCTTTCGGAACACAGCCCTAGGAGTTCTTTCTGCCTCAGATCCTTTCCCACAGCCCCATACTCCTGAGCCCTGTTCTCCGTGCATAGCTCCCTCAGCATCCAGGTCTCACAAGCCTCCTCAGGTCCCCTTTCTAAAGTCCTCTTTAGCCAGGAAGCCCCATCCCATCAGCCAAACACTTGGCACTGTCTACATCTCTTCCTCACTCTCTGGGAATGCTGGCTCTTGGGGGTCGGGCCCTCTGCCACATTCACCATTGAATGTTTTCTTTCCCCTTCTTCTTGTAAGGAGGAGCAGCAGTCTCTTGGCCCTGCAGAAGGTCTCATTTTGTCACCACCTTCTGTAGCTGCTTTCTTACTCACACCTGAGGGGACTGCTGAATAGGATCCCAGGTTCAGGGTGAGGTTGGCGGGGGTGTGGGAGCCTCCTCTTTCAGGACCTCACACGAGCTCCCTTTTCAACATCTTTGTGGGATAGGATCTTGACTTGTACTGCCTGCCCTTGTTCCCCCACTTTCCAACCCCAGAGCTTACTTTTCAAGTGGAGAACCAATGGCCAGAGAAAGGAGGCACTGCCCTGCTCATGCCCAGAAATGGCATCAATATTGAGACTCCAGTTTAGGTCACTGAAATACCCATCTTGTGACCCTCCCCTGGTCATCATCTATGGTTTTTCTGCTAACTCATGCTCTCATCTCTGGCCTCTGTTTCCAGGACCCATGTCTAGGCTCTGACATTATTTCAATAATGAGGAAACTGAGGCTCAGAAGGGACCTGCTCAGGGTCAACAAAAGTGAATGGCAGGGTCTCCCAGGACTGGGTTGATCCCAAGCACAGCTTGCAGTCTTGAAATAGCCAGTCCATTGCTGGCATTGTAATGGTGCCTGCTGGGGTGCAGTGGCAGGCTATGGTGCAGGGAGGCCTGCCCCCACCCCCAGTGGGCCAGAATTATAGAACTGAGGGATCCTTTGCAAGCTGAGGCAAAGGACTACCGCCAGTACACACTGGACAGGAGTGGAGGGAGGCCTGAGGCAAGGAGCATTCTTCAAGAGGCAGGCTTGGATA